GGGGGGCAGAGATAGCAGGGCGCATGCGCCGAACCCAGCACAACCCGCCGAAGGGGCGGGAAGAAAGGGAGTCGTGCGCAAGCGCGGAGCCCTGCCCAAGCCCTCAAAGGGGCGGGAAGCGGGGACAGAGACCGCCTGGCGCATGCGCCGAGCCCGCACCAGCCCGCGGAGGAGGAGGAGGGGGAGGAAGGAGGAGGAGCTGGGGGTGACGTAACCAGCGGCGCATAAAGGGCCGGTGCCTCGGTCCCGCCCTCCCTTTACGTGGCCCCTTCAGGAGGGCGGTCCCACGCCCCCAGGCGGCGGCTGCGGGTGGTGCAGCCCCTTCTGCCCCGCGGGAAGCAGGTAGGCGGGGAGAGCCCCCTGCTGCTGGTGGTGCCCTGGGTGGGGCACTGCAGAAGGGCTCCTCCTCCATCACAACATAGGCAGGATCCTCAGCAGGGCCCTTTGCCCGAAGCCTCTGAGCAAGACTTCCCTGGAGCGCCCTCCTGCAAAGTCACAAGACCATGCTACCCCCAGCACCCAGCAGAGCTGCAGCGCAGGCAGTTAGCCCCCTACGATACTCTGCCAAGCCCCTGTTTCCCCACCCAGCCCCCTGGCATGGACTCTGTCTTCAGGCCCATAGGCACTGGCAAGGCAGAGACCCATTCCTTCATTCTGCTTCCATGCTCCCGTGTGCCAAGGAAGGGCTCCGAGCTGGGCCAGGTCCCTCCAAGAGTCCTGCATGCTGATAACAGCACCAAAATGATAGATATTATCACAAGAAAAGCCCCAGAGCTCTTGCAACATCACCTTGACACTACTTCATCCTATGCAAACCCTCCAGCCTAACCAGGACCGGGAGCATCAAGCATACACTTTACGGTGCTGTACCTGTAAAGAGATGGTGCCCCCCACACCCCTGCAGCATCTTCCCAGGTGACTCTGGATCCAGGTGTCAGCAGCCGGCTGCCTATTACCAGAGCATCACCCAGCTCCTGGGCTAATACTCAACTACACCTCAGCATCTCTCCCCTTTCAAAAAAGAACAGCCTCTCTCATCCTGTAATATACCTGTGCCACCTTCTATTTTAGCATGTGCCCCACTTCAGTCCATTCTGCCATAAACAGGTGCCTCTTACTAAAAGGACAACGTCACCCCCTCCCCACCCCACAAGGCTGCAACACATGAACAGCCAGAGAAGTAAGTCTACCCAAACCCAACTAGATCTGTCCTCTGTCACTCCACCTTGCTGAAGGCTTCTTTGGTCCCTGCTCCAAGATTGGTAGTGCATAGTCCCCACACTCAACGTACACACTTCTGTGGTTACTGCCATACAGTAATTCAAGATACTCCAAAAACAACACTGTATAATATGCAGATACACCAGAAACAGCTGCTTCTCAAAAAATCATATCTATTCCCCAGTAGCCAAGCACTGTACACCAGCACTGCATGGAAGCTTCCCCACAGTCTGTGCATACATAAGCTGATTTAAAAGGCAATGTGTGGACCCCTGCACATGCACCAGCCAGAGACGGAAAGGACAAAGAATACCCAGAAGATAGCCTGGATATGAAAGCAAGAAAGCAGCAGGTCTCCTTAGTGCTAAAGCATCAAAGGAGCAAGAACAGGCAGAGTACAAGCTGCAGGTTATGATAATGTTGGGGAGGAAACCTCTATGACCAAGGCTAGAAGTCAGACAGCTGCTGGGTTGTGTGAAATTCAGGCATTTATCCTCCCCCCTCGACATTTTTGGATGTCTATATTTTTTTTGTTCCATTTTAGAATATATGGTAAAAAGTGTTTTAGTTTTTTCCAGAACGAATGACTAGATTTCCAGTATCCCATACTCAGTCTAATACCATGCAGTTATTCCTTCTCAGCACCCTATGAGACTACAATTCTTACAGTAAACAGGGACAGTTTACTTCCAGACTGCAACAGCGAACAGGTTTCGTAGCATGCCAGGTCCATCTGCATTACAGACTTGTTCTACATTAGTTGTCCAAGTCTCCCATACCATCTACATTTAAAAGCCCTTATATACGCAATTACCCCACTAAGGAAGATGCTACCGTGCACACAATTTGTATGTAGCTTTTACACAGCAAGCCTATAAAACTGCCCTCAGATGCTCTTTACAAAGACTATCAAACAATTAGCAGATGAAACTCCTCAATAACCTATGGAACTCACCACTGCATGAAGTTATTGAAGCAAACAGCTTGGGAGGGTTCCAGAAAGGATTAGTTGTGTCTATGACTAAGAATAGCATCAGCAGCAAGGCAAGCCAGGATAGCAGTTACAAAGGCTATTATTAATCCACCTGTTTCATAGCATAAGCGGATGAGCAGCTGACGTCAGAAGAAAGTCACCTCCCCCAGTTTCAGCAGGGCAGCACTGCTCATTTAGGTACATCAGGATTGGAAGCGGTCTTCGCCTGAAGTGCACATCATTAGCCACTGGTAGAGACAAGATGGTGAGCAAGAAAGCCTATCACCCAGGTCAATGCAATATATATGCCACACTTCTAATAAATAGCATATGGAGAGCAGACAAAAAGATCTCAGGCTGCCTCTCCATACCATAACCCTTTTTGCTCACCACCTTCATTTTTTTAATCTTTTAACTTGCTTTTTTCGCTATTCCTTACAAAGTTTGCCCAGCTCCTCACCCAACTAATGGGTAGAGTCTCACATTAGAAATATCAGCTTCACTTCATGTGCTGGGAAGATGGTAAAAGGCCTCACATGCTGTGCTGGAGGGTGAGCTACTGATTTCCCCAGACTGCCCAATGTCCACTCTCCCCTTATGGAGAGGACAGATCAGAAGTGCCACTACTGCTTATAGATTTCAACAGCACCAGCAGTTGGGTCCTCAACAAGGCCTTCCAGCAAAGGGGAGTCAGTACCAAGAACCCAACAAGCCTATAGTAAAAAAAATTGTTTGAGGGGAGTGTTTAAAAACTGTTTTTCCCCCAGGAAGAAAGCAGGCACAAGAGATAAATCAAGGACGTCACAGGTCTCTGGGCTTTGCCTTGCATGCTTTCCTTAAAGGCCTCTACCGGCAGAGGAAGCCAGTGATCCAAAGCCATCCAAGGCCTTGTCCTCCAGGCAAAAACAGAAGTGATCAACTATGCACTTTTATTGCTGGCAACAATCAGTCAACCAGACCCACTTCTAATCTATTCATCTAGCCAGGGTGAGAGAAGCACAAGCAAATAGTATAACTGCCCTTATTTTCATTTGGAAGTGTATGTGAATTGGCATATGTAATTACATGCAACAGCAGGGCCTTGGCAGCTATCCCACAGGCCCTTACAGCCCCTAGGCTTGCTGCTCATTTGTCCACAGTGGATGAACAATATGGACACAGAGGTTATTTTAATTAAACTTTTTTCTAAAATTTACTAGCACTTACACTGGACACATCTGTGGCTCAGTAATACAAGAGATGCAGCTCCTGAAAAAGCAGGGATCCTCCAACTCTGATTCAGTTCTCAGGAGGGGGCTGCTCAAAGCACAGGTGCAGAGTGGGAAACAACTGAATCTTCTGCCAGGCCCAAATGGGGAGCTATAGAATGATCTCCGTCCAGCCTAGTGCAAAATGGATTCAACAACATGCTCACTGTGGACCCCAATTAGCAAGAGGGCTGGAAATGAGGCAACTACACCGTCTCCCATCATTGCCATTGCTCGTGCCAGCAACATACATCTTCATCAGTAAGGCAGAGGTGAACTCTGCAGATATGCAAGGGTAAACAGGACTAAACTACCCAAAATTTAAAAGTCTAGGTTTTGGAGAACACTGACGATCCAAGATGCAGGAATGATCTACAAACCATTCAGCTTAAGATGCACACAGTAGTTTACATGTTAAGAGTTCAGCCTTATTTTCAGTTTGTTTACATACAAGGATACTGAAAAGTAGCAACAAGGGACAGTCCTGTCCTCGTATTTCCCACAGGAAACTGATGTCAGAAGGAAAGAGCTAAGTTTCACTTTGTTCCCTCAGAAAGTGAAAGCTTGAAATACATTCAGTGCCACCCAGGATCAGATCAGGAAGCACTCTAGTCACTCTGGAGCTGCTGGTGTTGAAGACAAGGTACTACTCAGCCCTGCAAAATTAGAAGCCTCTGCATAGTTGAATTAAAGCAACAGCACATGTGCACAGCAGACAGACACATCCAGGTGTCATGAATTCCCAGCCATCTATTCATTCCCAAGATTTTGTTCTTACAGTATACCAATTTAAAGGTTTTACAGCTTACAGGAAGCTGAGCTGCCATTCTGCTTGTTCAGGAAGGGGGAGCAGAGATTTCAAAATGAAATAATCAGTATTGATTTACTGCCAGATGGGAAGGGCAGGGGCCAAAAGCAGACATGGCAGAAACAGGAGCAACTTCAACGGACTTCAGAAGGGGCTTATTCCTACTCTCAAAGCTGATCCAAGCTGACTGCAAGTACATTACATACTTCCCCCTTCTCTGTAAATGATACAAATGACATTTTTAGGCTGGAAGGCAAAAAACTGACAGATTATTGACATTGACAGATCAAAATCAAATCCTAAGCCTCAGTATGGAGGAACTGTACTCTCATGGGGGCACCAGAGTGTATGTATAATTAGCACAGTGGAAACTCTCCTACTATTCTTTTCCCAGAGCGTAAAAGTATCTCAAGTGTAGGAAGCAGGAGACCCCAAATCATATTTCACATAGCTCTCCCCATATTACAGCCATAGTGCTGGTCATGCCATGACTCCAAACACCAGATCATCTTTATTTTTAGGCACTTCAGCCCGTGTGCGTGGGGGGGTGAGGTGGAGGGGATTTCTCCCCAGAAATTCTCAGACTCGTTCCTGGAACTTGGGAACAGAACTGGCAGCAAGATAAACACTTCCTGCTTGGATGATATCATCTAAACAATGGGGTGGGGGGAGAAAAGAAAGAACAGATGCTTGCATCACTTTATCATTTTCTACTTTATTACTTCAAATTAACAACCACGATAAAGCTCAAAAAAGTCCAATATTTACACAGGAAAAAAGTACAAAATTCCCCCCCCTCCCAAAGTTCTTCAGGTTTTTTTTTTTCCATTTTTTTAAATTACAAAGTAATAAAAAGTTTTGCTCTTTAATTAAAAAAAGAGAGACAGTAAGAGGGGTAAATAAATTAGGAAAAAAATAAGGGGGAAATAAACAAAAAAAAAGTTGTTAAATAGAAAGGATAAAAACAAAACAAAAACAACACAAGCCCTGCCTGTCCAACCACCCACTGGCTTCATGCTACAGTGTCAGTGCGCCAGGAAGAGGCCATAGGTCGCAGTGGTGATCATTGCCTTTTAAAACCCAAGAAGGTTGGTGTCTTGAGTATTCCTAAAATGTATTTAAAAACTCAAGTGGTGGGGGAGGGAAGAGGGCTGCCAGACACTGGATCTTATTTAGGGTGTGGGCAGAAAGAGACCGAGGATAGGTCATCCTCCCCCAGCAAGACCAGACCCCTGTTTCTGCATGCCCCTCTCCTCCTTGAATCCCACCACTTTCCTCGGTAAAATAAGGGGAATTTAAAAAAAAAAAAATAATAATAATAAAATAAAAACCCTGAACAAAACAAAACAAGAAAACACCACACATGGCCAGACAAAGATCCCACCACCGGGATGGGAAGTGGGTTACAATCTCCCTGTCCTTCAAGCTTGACTTTGCCTCATCCACGCAACTGGATCCCCCTCCAGAAAGAAATCCTTGACACGCTGTGGCTGTTCATATCATTTGCGCCTGCCTGGCACTTCTTACTGCCCGCAACGGTGCTGAGGTGGCATCCAGGGAAAAGAAGCCTCAAAGCATGGGAGGCCTCACCCAAGGCTCCCCTTACAGCTTGCAACCCATTTCTTTTAATGCTTGAGGGGGGAAAAAAAAAGTCAAGACTTCTCCCACCAGTCAAGGCTGGGATTCAAGTCTCAGGAGACTCCTGAAAAACAAATCCACCCCTTGTTCTCGGGGGGGGAAAAAGAAAAAGGAAAAAAAAAAATGAGAGCGCGCGCGCACGCGAGAGAGAAAAAAAAAGACAGAGCACACATGTGCAACAGAGAGAATTAAAATTAAAAAGTTATACTAAAACCATTAATGTCCAAAATAAACCAAAATAAGGGTAGGAAAGTTATTTAAGGGAGGAAAAAGAAGACAGACAGACCAAAACAAGGATGGGGGAAGGAGGGGAGTGAGCCGAGAAGATGGTGGGGCGGAGGGGAGGGGGGAGAGGGGAGGGGAGCTGCACGAAGGCAGGAGAGGTGTTTCTGTAAGACTCCCACGCTGTTGGGTTCTTGGAGGCGCTGATGTCAGGGAACATAGGTGGCAAATCTCAGAATGGTTTCACACCGCTATGGGGGCATCTTGTCTCCTTGACGTTGGCAAAAAAAAAATAAAAAAAATCTGTTTTTGTTGTTGTTTTTTGTCTTTTTATTTTAAGGGTTTTTTGTTGCTGTTTTGGGTTTGTTGTTTTTTGTTTTTTTTTTTTGTTTAAAAGAAAAATACAGTGAAGACACTGCAAGAGAAGGATTGAAAGGGAAGAGAGTTAGAGGAAAGGCAGATCTCCTCACCAGTTCCAATGACAATTTAAGCTTGTTAATCCAAATTACTCCCTGCCTCTAGTTCCACCACCGCCCCACAGAATCATCTCTCTCCAAGAGAGGGGCAACACAGGTCAAACACCCGAACCTCCCCTAAGCACCATCGCGCTATTAAGACCGCACTAATTAGGAAACAATAAAATGGATGCCCACTCTAGGAATAAGAGAGTGGTTTCTACAGCCTTCCTCCACTAGACAGCAATGGAATGAATGTCAACACCTCCCCTCCCATTAACATGACACAGCTGCAGACAGCCACATTGATCTGTTTCTCCAGACATGGTGCCATGTGCCCTTCCCCCTCCCACAGGGACTGTCAATGAAGGATGTGCATCTTGCTTGTCTCTCAACATGACCAAAGAAGAAAAAAAAAAAAAAAAAAAAAAAAGACATTTCACTGGGATAAGTGAGGGAAGGGAAACGCACTGACCCACTACAGCAGCACCCAGGCTTGAAGCTGATAGTTGGCGCCAGACCTTTTCTCCTTGGCGAGACCAGGGGCACCAGGGAGGGCACTCACCTAAGCAAACACTGGTCCGGTGACATCTCTTCTTCACTTCCCAAGGTGATCAAATGGCACACTTGTCTAGAACAGAATAAGGGAGAGTGGGCAGGGGAGGAAGAAGGCTGGGTCTCCCACTTGAGTGCTCTGTACATTCCCCAACCTTGATGCCTCTAATGGACAGTCACGGTAGCCTGAATTCCCAAGAACATGCTGCCCCATGCCATTCTAACCATTAGTCAGGGAGAAAGCCAGAAGATGGCTTGGTCTGGCAGTATCCTGAAAGCCAGGCTAAGAAAAGCTCATCCAGCATCAGCCCCTGGAAAGTCAATAACTACACAGTGGGGAAGAAGGCTTCACACCAGGCACCTTCTTGCAGGAATAGGACATCCCCTTACTAGAGCCAATTCAACAGCCACCAGCTCCCACGGTCCTCTGGGTGCAGCCTGACCGATGCCGTTCTGGACAAGACTCTGGGCAGGGACTCACCTGTGATGCTGAAATCCGTGACACCTCTTGCCGACCTGTGAGGTCAGAGGAGGAGACGTTGGCAGGGGCTCCCCTGTGTAACCTCATGCTGACCTTCCGTTCCCTGTCCACTCGCGAGATTGCCCTGGGGGACGTGTTTCCTACTTAAGGGACAGAGAAAAGAGATACAAGAGACAGGTGTTCAATGCTTCCGATTTTCAGGCTCATGTGCACTTTGGCCCTCCCCCATCTCCATACTCACCAGACTGTTGGATTCGGGAAGTGGGTGTGGAAGCCATGGGCTCAGCGACATTGCGAAGACGATTGGCAGTGGCTCCAGCTGGGGGCCCTGGTGGCAGTGCCCGTGTGGCAGAGCCCCGGAGCTGCCCCATCCGCTCCTCTCGCTCATGTTCTCGCCGCTCCCGATCCATGTCCTCAGGATTCCGGGCCGCTCCCTGAAACAGACACCCCCAGTCCGTGGCACCCTCCGCCATCAGCCAAGAAGAGTGCAAGGCAGCCCTCTCCATCCACCCCCTGCCTAGAAATTGCACCTTCCCTAGGTAAGGTTTAAGGTATGGTCCTAAAAAAGGAGTCCTGCACAACCTTCTCTCTCACCAGGCTTCAATTTCCATGTGTGAAGAAATAGGAGAGGGGAAAGCATGCAATGTTGCAGAAGCTACTGGAATCTAAACAATGCGTTAGACATGGGGCAGACAGCCCCCTTGCCCCAAAGGATACAAGACAGTAGCAACAATCACCAATTAACACCGTCAGCTTGCTCTACACCTACTTACACTGCCCATGTTCTTGCTCATGAACAGTCAGACCTCTCACAGTCAAACTCTCCAACCCAGCCCACCTTGAAGTAGCGTGCCCCACATGACAGCATCTCACTCACAAATTTGAGCATGTTCCAGTCAAAGACATAATCATAGGAGAAGCCCTGGCGGTGGAAGAGGTTGCGGAAAAGCTGTCGCAGGTATGAGTAGTCAGGCTTGTCGTCGAACCGCAGCGAGCGGCAGAAATTGAGGTACGTCGAGAACTCAGCTGGAAAGAGGCAGAGCAACAGTTGGTCATTAAACACCACTCTGCCTCAGTGAGGCACCATAACTTACCCCTGAAATGAATCTCCAGGGGAAGCCAGGAAGGCCAGGACATCTCCCAAAAAAAAGTGCTAGATCAGAAGGGCAGCATTAAGCTACCTTCTCTCCTTGGAGAGCCTCTGCTTTGGGTATGGAAGAATCCACCCAATTCATTTGAGGGAAAATGCCTGCTCACCTCACCTCTTTGGCTGCTTTTCAAACAAGGGGTAGGTCACACACAGTCCCCAGGATATATCAAGGAATAAAGGGAAAGGAGAGACTCTGTCACTACAAAATAGGCAGAACAGAGATGTGGGAGGAAGGGCCTGTGGGGGGAGAACAGGGCCAAAGTAGTCCAGAGCAGCATCGACTATACCCTACCACTAGATGCCACAGCCTCTTCAACACCATGTATGGCAACACAAGGTCCAAACCTCCTTCCATGATAGTTGTCTCTAAACTGGGTCACCCCTAATGTACTAATCACCCAAAATTAGTGCCTAAGAGATTTCCAGGGGGAGTCTCATTTCTACACCACAACGTGTGGTGCTCATGTTCCCTCACCCCCACTCTCTCTTCATTGGCATCATTAGTGCAACTACAATAAACACTGGTTAATTCACCATTGTACCAATTCCCTGCTCCTTCCCCACCCAAAACAATCAACTCTTAATTAACTGATCACGTTTGGATAATTCAACATGATCTGCATTCCCCTTGGAGTGATGAATGAAGCAGAGTTTACTGCCGTTGCTCTCCAACAGGACATGCATCAACATATGCCATGCCCCCCACAGCTATCAGAAGCCAGATTCAGCAGGGCTCCAGCAGATCACACTGCCTCAGTGCCTGATTGCCCAGCTATCCACCCACAGCTTACAGCACTTACAAGGGTATCCTTTGCAGAGCACCTCAATGGGCGTGGACATCTTCTTCTCACTGATACGCTCATATTTTTGGCGCTTGGTGGCAGCCTTGAGGCCCTGCCAGGGCAGCGAGCCTAGGTTGAAATACATGAGCACATAGCCCAAGCTCTCCAGGTCATCACGGCGGCTTTGTTCTGAAGGAGAGAGAGTCACACATGAGGAGGCATGACCAGAGTTGTTTTGGCAGCAGTCACATGGTGTCAGGCTTACACAAGGAACAAGAAACAAATGCTTTTGCTTCCAAAAAGCCTCCTCCGCTCTGATAAATTTATCAAAATAGATATGCCAGAATAATGAGTCCAGTGCAAACCCCCATATGAATATTCTTATTGTGGAATAAAGACTGCTTTTTTTGATTTAGCCAGTTCCACTTTGGAAGCGAGTAATTAGGTCAGCAATTCCCATATGAAGACAGGCTCATTTATGCACAGGCACCTACCCCTGTCCATAGTGCTGTCCTGATGCTACAGACTCCCCACTCCATCATTCCCAGTCAGTGCCACAAACAAGATATCACAACACCCCCCCCTCCACACACCCAGCTCAGAATCCCATTCAAAACTAAGTAGATTAATCATGGTTGGAGCGATTATGGAAGAAAAGGATGGTACTGTTACATCAAGAACAGGCCATGAAATTAATTGGAACGTCTATGTCTCACAGGCCAGAATAAGTGACCTACACAGTCCCTTCTGGCCTTAAATGCTATGACTTCTAAATAATTTAAGATTTTTTCAGATACTTACCTGCCTTTTGGGCTGAAATGATCGAAAGCTCAAAAGGAGTTTATGAATCAGTGTTAAGGTAGGGTTTGAAAAAGATTTTCCCCACCATTCGGACGTGGAAGACGTCACCACCAACTCCAACTCTGGTAGAGGCTGCCCAATATTTACCCACTATAATATTGGTTTTCTTTGCTTCACACACGCAGGCAAGCTAAACTTAAACACGTTTCACACTGGTGTCTGCCTCAGGCTCAGAGGGGGTTTTCTATGCGTTTGTTTGGAAACTTTCAGCTAAAAATGGTCCAGCCATTTCAGAGATGAGGTTAGGGAGAAATATTTTGTTTTGCCCATTTCACCTCCCACTCAGTACAGAAGATGATTCTTCACAATGTTATGTTGCAAAAATCATGCCCTTCCATGCTTTGGAGCTGGGGCTTGAAATTTGTTTTGGGGAAGCAGGGACCAAGGATAAAGTCACCCTGGTCTTCTGCAACCCTGTGGAAATCTGCCCAAGTTATAAGCCTCCAAATATAGCTACAGTTTGTGCACAGTCTGAAGAGGGCTGGTAAAGTTTGTCAGAAAAATTCTGTGAAGATCCAGTCCACACTTGGGATACAGGGGATCAGCAGCTCTTGGCAGCAAGGGACAGGTGAGCCACTAGGCACTAGAACCAAGTATAGGGGTAGAATTTTCTCCTATGTTCTCAATGCTCCCTCTGCTGGCACCCAGAAAGCAAGGAAGAGGAGAAAGCTACAGATCAGAACACAGAAAAAATGAGAAACAAGGAGGGGTGCAGCAGAAAAGAGGGGAGAAGGGAAACATGGAGTCAGATACTGAAGCCAAAAGATTTACAATGATACGGCATACTCCTCTACAGAGCAAATCTTCAGATTCTGTTGCTGGCAGACTAATGTAGCGAGTGGCGAAACCCACTGAAAATGTATTTCACCCCCACCCCTTTCAGAGACCAGTCAGTCCAAAGGATGATAGCCTACTATTTCTGCCACAATTGTTTACTTTGTTAGTTTAACCAAGGACCGTATGTAGCAAAGCAGCGGCCCAAAACTCTACTGATGAACCAAGTGGTGGCCAATCTGGTGTCTGGCAATTTGTTTTTTTTAAGCTTGTTTTAAATTTAGAAAGTATTTAAAGAAACATACACAGACACACAAACAAACCTCTAGGTTAGAAGAACAAGCTAGGCTGCAAAAATCAGACACGCAAATGTTAGAAAATTCCATAATTAGTTTCCGGTGTTATCTTAATTCAATTTAATAACTGGAGTATGTGCAATAAGACAGCCCTTAGCTAAATGAACACAGTCCACTTTTTCCACAGGACCCCACTTTTTTCATTCAGCGCACAGGAAATGGCTACTTCAGGGATGAAGCCAGGTTGAATAGGGAAGTGTGCGTGCATGCATGCACCTTCCTTCATTGGCTGAAGCAGTTAGGCGTGTAATGAATGGGGCAGGAGATTACAGAAAGAAAAGAAGGACAGTCACAGATTAAGATATCTGAATGCTGAGCTAGGACAGTATTGGGCTGTTTCCCTGCCTGGGCCACACACTGCCTGCATGATCCTGGGAAAATCATTTAAAGCAAGCTTTTCCAAGCTCATCCCTTACTGCATGCTCCTTATTTTTGAGATAGGCAAGTTAAAACACTTCTGTCTGATCTACAGAAGTCCTAAGCATTTGGAACTGAAACTATGGCCAAATAGCCATGCTTTTGCACAAGGCATGCTAAAAATGCCTTGGAAACACTGGAAAATATCAGGGTCTGGATGAGCACTAATTTGGGGTGCCCAGATTAATATTTTTGACAGTTTTGGCTTTACTTTTTTCTGTGTCTCACTTTCCCCACTTTAAAATGGGGATTGTACCTTCCAACATCACAAGGTTGATTATATTTTTGGAGCACTTGAAGAAAACAGTAAATATGCCCTTAAGAAAACCAGTAACTGTGCATTCAGTGCAAGGCTTGCATATATGGGTTCACTGAGGCCAAAGCATACACACAAAATGAAGAGAATTAAACAAGGGAGGGGAGGTCCCGTGCAGACTGCTTTGCCCTGGGCCGTGGCCCAAAGTGGGACTCGGCGAACCTGGAAGTGGGACTTCCAGCTTCGCTTTTGCCACATCGACCGGCATGCCGGTTAATAGAGATGCCAGTTAACGAAGTGCCGGATAACACGGCTTTTATTGTATACTGAATAGATACCCATTCACTGAATGAGGCAGGGCCTCTTTGGAAATAGCCAACTGTATAATAAAAGACTATGCTGGAATCCAAACACACACGAGGCTGAATTAAAGAGACGTGGCTAGCCTTACTTCTGCTTGTATGCAATACAGTAAATTTTGGAACACAACAACAGCTATCATTTCAAAAAGTTTGGAGAATAATCTGGGCTTCAGCAAGCAGAAGGGTGAAACAGGGCACAACTGACTAGTAAGCCTCGTCTCTAGTAAGGAGGCTGAGCAGCTCAAACCTCCCTAGTAACCAAATCAAAGGAAGCTATTAATACACCCCCATCTCGTCTCTGCCTGTACAGATCAAAGTGCCGACAGCATGAATGGCTGGAAAAATAAGACAACCTGGCATGCGAAATAAGTTCAGCCTGCAGATGGAAAAAGCATGCAACCCTTCAATGTCTCATGCACACTTTAACTCCATCTTAAAGCTAGACCATGACTGGGGAGGGGAATCCAATACAGCCCCACAAACATAAAATTGTGTTCTTATGCATGGTGTCACTAAAGTTCTCAGTTATGAAGCGCAGTAAGTGAAAGAACAAGTTAAGGACTATTTAGAAAAGCTGGACATATACAAGTCCATGGGGCCGGATGGGCTGCACCTGAGGGTGCTGCGGGAGTTGGCTGATATGACTGCAGAGTCACTGGCCATCATCTTTGAAAACTCATGGAGATCAGGAGAGGTCCTGGATGTTTGGCAAACATAGTGCCCACATTTAAGAAAGGGAAAAAGGATGATCCAGGGAACTACAGAAGTCAGCCTCACTTCAGTTCCTGAAACATCATGGAGCAGATCCTCAAGAAATCCATTTCTAAGCACCTGGATGAGAAGGTGATTAGGAATAGTCAGCATAGATTCACCAAGGGCAAGTCATGCCTTGCCAACCTGATTGCCTTTTATGATGAGACAACTGGCTCTGTGGATGCGGTACAGTCTCCCACAACACTCTCGCAGGCAACCTAGGGAAGTACAGGCTGGATGGATGGACTGCAAGGTGGATAGAAAACTGGCTGGATCGTCGGTCTCAGAGGGTAGTAATCAATGGTGCAATGTCTAGTTGGCAGCTGGTATCAAACAGAGTGCCCCAGGGGTCAGTCTTAGGGCCAGTTTTGTTCGGTATCTTCATCAACGACCTGGAAGATGGCATAGAGTGCACCCTCAGCAAGTTTGCATGTGACACCAAGCTGGGGGGAGTAGTAGATATGCTGAAGGGTAAGGCTAGGATTCAGAGAGAACTGAACAAATTGGAGGATTGGACCAAAAGAAATATCATGAGGTTCAATAAGGACAGGTGCAAAGTCCTGAACTTAGGACGGAACAATCCCATGCACCAGTACAGGCTGGGGGCTGACTGGCTGGACAGCAGCTCTGCAGAAAAGGACCTGGGGGTTACAGTGGACAATAAGCTGAATATGAGCCAACAGTGTGCCCTTGTTGCAAAGAAAGCTAACAGCATACTGGACTGCACTGGTAGGAGTGTTGCCAGCAGATACAGGAAGTGATTATTCACTTCTCTTCAGCACTGGTGAGGCCATATCTGGAGTACTGTGTTCAGTTTTGCGCCCCCCATCCCCCAACTACAGAAAGGATGTGGACAAATTGAAGAGTCAAGCAGAGAACAACAAAAATGGTGAGGGGGCTGGGGGACGTGATGTGTGAGAAAAGGCTGAAGGGGCTTATTTAGTCTAGAGAAGAGAAAAAACAGAGGGGATTTAATAGCAGTCTTCAACTACCTGAACGGGGGCTCCAAAGAGGACAGAGCTAGCTATTTTCAGTGGTGGCAGATGACAGAACAAGAAGCAACCATCTCAAGTTGCAGCAAGGGAAGTTTAGGTTAGATATTAGGAAGAATTTTCTCACTAGGAGGGTAGTAAAACACTTGAACAGGTTATCCAGAGGTGGTGGACCCTCCCCATCCTTGGAGGTTTTCAATACCCAGCTAGACAAAGCCTTGGCTGGGATGATCCAGTTGGAGATGGTCCTGCTTTGGGCAGGGGGTTGGACTAGATGACCTCCTGAGGTCCCTGCCAACCCTCATTTTCTATGGCTATGATTCTAAGACAAAGTCAATACACCCC